CTGCTGATATTATGCTGATGATGATGATTGCAGCTTTAATATATTCTTAACAGAGACGAACCATATTCCTTGATTAACACATAATGCTAAAGGTGTCATTGTACTATATTCTGTGCCTTTGTCACAGCGAATCAATGTACACAGATTTGGATTTACCTTTGGCATCATCTGTCAGTATGATATGCAAAGATGAAGAATGCACTGGAAGTTTTTGATTTGACTCACTTTCTCTATTATCAGTGATAAAACAACTACATAAGGCCTCATGCACATGGACAGTATGACCCATCAGCATCAAATCCAAGCATTTTGGGGTGCCCAGGAGACACGGGTGCAGCATCCAGCCCTGCTGCCAGCAGCCAATCAAAATCTATCACAGGTTGAAATACATGGTAGCTGTTTATGACCCTATATGTACAGGGGCGTATACCCCAACCACAGGAAATCTTCTTTTAGGGCTTGTGTCCCTGAACGTTTACCATATTCGGTGCCTCCCAGGTGCCCCAAAAAGCTGGGATTTGATGTCGGCTGGCCAAACCACACGTTTGCATGTAGGATACGTAATGTTTATTATCCCTTACTTTGCAGTTGGAGAATTGGAGTATTGATGAGGTGACTCTGTAAAAGTCATACACAGTCATTATCTAAAGATGTGACTTGCCAGGAAAATCTAAAGTATTGTTACTTGTCATGAAATTCATCACATATTGTTAGAGATTGAGATCAATATGACTTGTGAGGGGTGTTTGAAGGTCTACATTTAAAGTAAAACCTATGTATAGCTCTGTTATGCAAACATCAACTTTAGCTTCCATGTTGAATTCTTGGCTTACTTCCACCAGCTAACCTCGTTTTCCTTTTGGCCACCAAATAGTTGGCTTCCAAGCCGATAGAAAGACAATGAAGGCTAGACAGCGCATGCAAATAATCAGCCAAAGACGTTGTGTCTGCTATCCTCAAAATTCAGGCAACATAAAAATTAACCTGCATGTGCCTTCTCCTTGAACTTTGGGCCACCATAGAAGGTTTGGTGCCCTGCAGATTTCCTTTAAAGTGGAAATTGCCATATGAATATGAAACAGCCATATAACACATACACCTTGATATATATAAAGCATTATACTAGACTTCTGTCCATGTTCTGACTGTCATGACTATGACTGGTATCATTCAGCCGCCCCCTTGTGCAATGTATGTCTTTGGCAACACCACAGAAGAAGCAATTCACAGTCAGGCTTTACAATCAGAATTTGTAAGACAAGGGGGCTGAGCAATACCATGAGTTGCATGATGTTGCTGGTAAATGGCAGACAGTTTCAAATGCTGATGGCAGGACAACTGGGACCACAGCTAGAAGTTAAACATGCTGCTATGCAGTCATCAAGGTACAGGTATTATTATATGGTTGTTTAATGATCATACAGTAATGCTAGGGTGAACTTCCACTTCAAACTAAAGCCCTAGACATTCAGTCTACTCCGACCTAAACTTTTTATTTTTACTTTTGGATAGAGTCGGGAAACTATAGAACAATTGCTGGGAGTGTTTTCATGGTCTGTCCACCCTGATGAGTGAGATTTCTCCACACGTCCTGTCACCAAAGTAGAAATGTCTCCAGTGGAGACCAAAACAACAATAGAGTGAAGAAGGTTTCTTTATTATCTGTGTCCCCATTTTAAAGATTTACCCTTAATTCCTGTTCCGGAAACACCCTGTAAGTGGATGTAAAGTCTGGTACACATGATGAGAATATTGTACAAATGATTGTCCATTTTTTGCATGCTAGTCTCATATTGAAAATGAGTAGGTTACTAGATTTACAAAAATTCTCGTAAGACAGAATACAACTTCCTGCGATGATGTAGTGTATAGTAATGTATTCTTTCTTTTCCAAGCATGAGCTGTCTTGGTCACTCGATTTTTTTACGGACAAATACTGTACTGAATTAACGAAAATTGTTAATTCTGTTATCTTACGAGAAACATTTTTGTGCTTGTCCCTTCGGATAATTTCACATTAAGTGTTGTGATTGGCTGTCGACAGCTGTGTATTAATGATTAGATTATCAATAGCTCCGAAAACTTTTTTTTTTCATAGAAATAAGGGGATACTGTAGACACTGCAATAAAACCCTGTTTTACCTGCCTTTAAAATAAATAAGCACCATGTGGACGAAACCCAATATATTGTATGTATATGTTTTTTTCTTGAAACTGAAGTTCTTTACTTGAGACTTGTTAAAATAGACATTGGGGGCTTTATGCATTACAGAGATTCTAAAAATGACATATTCCAGGTACTCTCTTCTCCCAGGAGTTAACATAAAAGTGCTGAGACCAGAGCTAGTTGAATTTCAAAATCAGGCAAAACACCAATGTGCCAACTTTTTATATGCTTCCACATTTGCCCAGTCTTTGGAGAAAACAATTACATGATTGTGTGAGCTCCTGAGATGTATGACTATCTGCAAATCAGACAGATCTGCCTGGAAATATTCAGGTACATAAAAAACATGTAGGATATAAAACATGTAGGATATCTGAAGAGCGTGAGATGATGTAGCCATGCTGGGAACTTTTGATGTTCTGGTGAGGCAGAAAGGAAATTCCGTAAACTTTACCACTGCCAAAATCTCTTATTTCCAGGATAAATTTAAACATATAAACAGATGATCTAGGACGTTTCCTCCTGGCAGTGCTTGTCCCTTGCAGTATGATTTTTTTTTTTTTACCACTTTACATCTCTTAAAGTAAACTTGTCACAAGAAAAATAGGGGGGTGCCCTTGCTGACCAGCTTCTGAAATGTTGGTTTCCTGGTTGTAATATGACAAATGTGGCTTCAATACTTTCAGAGTCATTGACCTAGAACAAGTTTGTAGATCAGGAAGGTCAGAAGTCCTTATGTATACAATATACTTGATTTGGGTTAGGGAGTCAAAGTGTTGGGGGTCAGAGTGACAGCCAGGTGATTATTCAGGACAGAAGTCAGCAATGGCAGCATCCATGTTTTTTTTTCATTACAGGTTTCTTTTGTATTCTGCAAACATTTTTTGTAATAGGTATATCTTTGCTATCATGTATGGATTCTATCAGCACTTTCAGAAGACTTAAAAAAAGTGTAACTGCACTTTTGGGGGTCCATCTTGCCCCCAGCCCTTTCTTGACAGTCCTATAATCACTTGTTCCCAACCCAACTTGATAGCAATAACTAGATTGCACAGCTACTTGTCAAAACTCTTTACCTCTGGGCCCAACTCCTATGGTCTACTCTCTCATTGAATCCTATTGTGGAGCCAAGTACAAGCTCGTACTCTTAGTTAACACTCCATAAGAAGGCTTTGACAAGTAGCTGTGCGATCTAATCAGCGTTATTTTAAGTATAAGACTGGAAACTTGGGCTAAGAGCGAGGGGGGCAACAATATATGTGTAACTGCACCTATGGTTTACAGTAGTGCTAGCCTTTAGGCATAGGCTGGCATAACGCAACACTCATTAAAGTGGTAGTAAACATTTGTTTATTTTTTTTTTACCTACAGGTAAGCTTATAATGAAGCTTACCTATAGGTAAAATTATTCCAAAATATGCACCGTTTAGGAGATATTCTAGCGAGCTGCAGCCAGCGATATCATCAGCGCATGCGCTCTGAAAGAATGGCATACCCGTGCCGTTCCTTCCGGGCTGTGTGCCATGGCGGAGACTCCCATACGCATGAGCAGGAGTGACATCATTGTAGCTTGGCCAATCATTGGCCGCAGTCCGTGAACCCGGAAGGAACACCGGGTAAGATGGAAGCCTCTGCAGCAGTGACAACGCGCTGCTGGAGGGCTTTGTGCAATGCTTACTAGCACATCATGCCTTTGCCTTGCAGGAGAAAAAGTTTTTTTTTTTTTTTTTGGTTAGAGTTTACTACTGCTTTAATGTGCAACATAATACACATTACCACAGTACCTAGAAATAAATGGGCCCTCAATAAATATTCTTAAGCCAGCCATAGACAGTTCGAATCTCTGCCAGTTCAGTAGGGACTAGCTGAGATTTAGACCATGTATGGGCAGGCTGAATGTACCCAAGTTGATCAATCAACTTGGGTACAACCAGCCGGTAGGATTTTACATGTGATTATTGGTAGTGGCTTTTATAGAACACAATAGCTCTGCGAGAAGGATTCCCCCATCAGCACTGTGTTGATGGGGGAATCAAGCGAAAATTGCTCTGTCTATGGCCGGCTATAGGCTCACCACAGAAGTTATAATCTGATTGTACAATCTCCTTTAGATCTACTAACAACTATGTGTACAAGGGTCTTCCTGATTGGATACAAATTTAGATTTGGAAGGTCCTCATAGCACATAGTTTTTGTAAATCATAAGTTGATTGTGCAAAGATTGTAGTCAGACTGTATAGTGTATGGTGACCCTTAAAGTGATTTTAAGAGATCATTTTTTTTAAAATAACAAACATGTTATAGTTACCTGCTTTGTGAAATGGTTTTGTACAGAGCAGCCCCAGCCCTTCTCTCTGGTCCAATGCCGGCACTTCTCCTCCCTGCTCAGTGCCCCCATAGCAAGTTGCTTGCTTTGAGGGCACTTGTGCATGCTCGTTCCCAAGCCAGCTCCATTGGCACACTAAAGCGCAGCTTTACCCCTCCTTCCGCACTAGCTTTGATTGACAGCAGATGTCTCTGAGCCAATGAGGAAGGAGAGAGCCAAGAGAGCCTCTGCTTTCATACACATCACTGGAAAGAAATCGGGTTCATGTAAGAATTTAGGGGGGGCAGAGAGGGGGAAAGTTTTTTACCTTAATGCATAGAATGCATTAAGATTAAAAAGAAAACCTGCCTTTTAGAACCACTTTAACCACCTCCCGCCCACCATATAGTCCAATGACGGGCACAAGGTGGTTCTCTCTTTCTGGGAGGATGTCATATGACGTCCTCCCATTCTCACCGCGCATGCGCGGCTCAGGGAGCACGCAGCGCAGCGATCAGCGGTGCGCTGTGTCCCTCGGACACAGAGGATCACCGATCATGAAAAGAGCCGAAGATGTCGGCTCGGTCATGTGATCAGCTGTGTCCAATCACAGCTGATCACATGTAAACCGGGAAATGTCGGTTATCGGCATTTCTCTCTTCTCGAGCTGTCACGCTGACAGCTCGAGAGGAGAGGAGAGCCAGTAATCGGCTTCCCGCAGAGGGGACTTCTACACTGATCATCAGGGCACTGATGATCAGTGTGCCCTGGTGATCAGTGTGCCCTGATGATCAGTGTAGCCCCAGCAGTGCCATCTGTCGGTGTCCATAAGTGCCATGTGTCAGTGCTCATCAGTGCCTTGTGCCAGTGCCCATCAGTGCCACATCAATGCCACATATCAGTGCCTACCAGTGCACATCAATACCACATATCAGTGCATATCTGAGCTGCCTTTCAGTGCCAGTCAGTGACACCTATCAATGCCAATCAGTGCCACCTATCAGCGCTGCCAATCAGTGCCACCGATCAGTGCCAGTCAGTGCCACCTATCAGTGCCAGTCAGTGCAGCCTAACAGTGCCAGTCAGTGCTGCCTATCAGTGCCATGTATCAGTGCTGCCTTTCAGTGCCCATCAGTGATGCCTGTCAATGCCCATCAGTGCCATCTATCAGTGCCTCCTCATCAGTGCCACCTATCAGTGTCCATCAGTGCAGCCTATCAGTGCCCACCACTGCAGCCTCATTAGCGCATATCAGTGAAGGAGAAAAATCACTTATTTACACAATTTTATAACACAAACTAAGAAAAACCTTTTTTTTTTTTCAAAATTTTCAGTGGTTTTTGGTTTGTTTAAGAAAAAAGAAAAAACCCAGAGGTGATTAAGTACCACCAAAAGAAAGCTCTATTCGTCACAAAAAAGTGATAAAAATTTCATATGGGTACAGTGTGTTGTATGACCGCGCAATTTTCATTCAAAGTGCGACAGCGCTGAAAGCTGGAAATTGGCCTGGGCAGGAAGGGGGTATAAGTGCCCTGTAGGCTAGTGGTTAATGTGTAACTGCACCTGTAAGCCAAAGGTGCAGTTACCCCCTAGATTCCGTTTTTGCAGTGCATTAACATGCAATAAGTTGTGCGTTGTGTTAAGGCAGTCCATTGTAATAAATGGCTTGCAAATGCACCCTAACATGGTAAAAATCAGACATGAGCCTTTTCTTTGTACTACTGTGCAATGCAGTGCACTGAAACACAGGCACATTGCCTTGATGCATTTGGGTACCATTCAGAATGAATGGCACTGTATGTTATGTATATTACCACGCTTTGCAATGTGTTAGTGTGAATGAGTCCTTAGAGAATTAGTGTAGAGACAAAGTGAACATGTGTGCATGGAAATGAGATTTCAGCTTATTTCTGCAGCGTTCATTCCATTGAACAATGATCCCTAATTTATTACAGCACTGTGCATGAAGCCATACACTTTATTACAGAGCCCTGAATTGGTAGATTAGACCTACTTGTCCATATGATCATCTTTCTGGCAATAAATGCATTGCCCTTTTACAGCTCAGCCGAATCATGGAGCATATTTAGCATGACAGCTGCCACACTTTCCCTCTTTATAGGCAATGGAATATCCTCATTTCACCTATTATGTTATATTTATGCTTGGGTGTGTTTTTTACATGGATCGTATCGGCTACAAATAGATGTGACTCCAACTGTAACTGCTTGTATAGTGTAGAACAAAGCCGTATGACCGTCATCCATCATATATTACACTATGTGTATTTGTTATATTTGCATTATCAACAAAAATATAGTATACAATTCTATCTCTGGAAAGTGCAGGGTACTTTTGGTAGGAAGCAGATACTAATTGGCTTGTCAATAAAGAAATGGCCAATGTGAATAGCGAATGAGGGGAAGTACTGTTGTGTGTTAAAATAACAAAAGAAATTGAGGGAAGTATATTAAATGGCTCAATGTGGTGGAAGTCATAGCAGGCTTTAAATGCACATGGTTCAATTAGCTGACACCCCAGGATAAGGATACCTATTTAAAAACATGACAGTTACTTTCAGTTAGAGTCCATTAACAGTTGAAAATGGCAGTCACAAAAATAAACATCCTTATCCTTGCTTTGTGAATTGATCCTTTTGTCAGAGGCCTTGGGCCTTAAAAGCTTGCCATGCTTTACACTACTAGCCTTTAGGGTTCATTAATTAGACCCATTAGTACCTTGAATCACCAAGAATCTGCATATTTCTACTTCCAGCACTTGTGATCATCAGTGGTTACATGTGCCTAGGTGGAGATGGGCATCCCTTGACACAACCTGAATGTGCCCTGGGCCACTCATGTTCCTCATGTGTAGATTTGTAGTTACATTCAATCCGTCTCGACATCTGTCAGCCTGTCATTGATCCTGGCTGTAGCTGATCCCAAACATCTGTGAATACCTGTCACAGAATCACCCTGAATCCTGTAGGTGTATGACTCTTATCAGCCTTATGGCCCTCAGGCGGGGGTCAGCAACCAGTAGATCTCAGCCAGGTGACTGGTAGATCTCGGTCTGGGCTTGCTGATCCGACATCCCAGAGCATCAATGTACAATGCAGAGGGACTACTTGTAAAGGTGGAGCTGTAGTAGGGAGCAAGAGCCGCATAAGTTGATGCCTCTGTAGTGCTGCTCCTATGCCATGTCATGGTTGGTGGGTATAGCACCTGCCAAACAAGGCCCATTCATGTGAATGAGGCCACTCTGCAAGTACCGTGCAATCATGTGCAATACTGCAAACAAGGAAAACAAGGGGTTAAACAGGCAGCAGTGTGTTGCTTTTGCACCACATGCTTTAACACCTTGGACCCTCAAGAAGCACGCAGTTGTGGGGCGCTTGCAGAGTGGCCCCATTTACTTGAATGGGTCTCGACTGACAGGCGGTAGTACCTACCAAAAGCAATAAGGGGTGTAATTCCTACTGCAGTAGGTGTATCCATTTGGCTGCTTCCTCAGCAGCTAAAGGCGGTAGGAATTGGGGACAGTAAAACCATGACTCAGTTGCAGGGTTTTACCACCCACAACCTTACATGTGAATGAGCCCTAAGAGTGCCACTGCCGTATACAAATAAAAGCTCATTCACAAGTGAAGCAGACACTACTGCTCCTCTGCAAAGCGATCCGAGTGTGTTTGACAAGTGGCGAGGAGGCGATATGTTGCTTTCTCAACACCTGATTTTAACCCATGATTGCTGTGCAAAGCACACGATTGTAACACAGTAGTACTGCAATTAGAGATTTAAATCAGGTGTGAGGAGGTTACCCTGGCTGACACTGTGCCTGGTGATCTTTGACTTCTCTCATGTTGTTCAGGTAGATCTCCACCTCTTTAAAGTTGCCTACCCCTGCCCTCATTTACTTCTTACCCCCCAAAATACTCATCCTAAAATATTCAGGGCTATCACTGTCACCTCCTCATCTAGTAGAAAGTGAAGTAACTCCATCAGTCTCTTCTGTCCTAAATGCTTCCTCCTGCCTGTCAACCATCATATTCACTGAGCCGTGCATGAGCAGCTCAGCGTACATTTACAGCTTCAGATCTGTATGTGCGATGTGACTCCCGTGCGCATGTGTGGGGTGACATTATTCTGGCCCGGCCATACGGAACCCAGAAGGAAGACTTGGCAAAGATAGAAGTGCCAGTGGCCTGCAGGATCGATCACACCGCATCGCTGGAGGGCACCGTTTGACAAGTGAGTCTGCCATAATGCATTACCATAAATGATTGGCTTTTATTTATTTATGTAAACCATTTATCCCAAAAGAAAAGAAACTGTTGTAACCTCTTATAAAGTGTTAGCTGGAGTTTGGCATCAATTTAGTGTATCTAAAACTGCTAGTACATCTAAGGCTCCATGTAAACGAACATACTCTGACCACCGGCCGCGGGAAAATGCAAATCGTGGCAAAACTGCGGTAACCGCAGTTTTGACGTATTTTGCGTTTTCCTGTGGCAGGAGGTCAAAACGATCCTATCCTGAACACGATTCTTTTGCGCTCAGGAGAGGGATGTTTAGCCTCACCTAAATGCAGAAGCTCCTAAACTCCCCTAAAAGCCTATGTGTACATGGACACATAGGCTTTCATGGAGTTGAGTTTAGGAACTTTGGCAGAAAAATGCCAAAAGCTCCTAAACTCGAGTTTAGGAGCAGCAGTGTACTTGGAGCCTAAGGCTTCATGTTCACGGAACACTTCTGAACGATGGAAACTGACTGCTGGAAAACATAGGTTAAAAAAAACGTCTGTTTAGCCGCGTTTGCATACCGGGTATATGCACGTTTATGAGCGTTTGCGTTTAGAACCATTTTTTAAAGATAACCTCAGGAGACCTTCCAAAATGCCCAGAATGCACTGAAACAGTAAAACTAACTATTTCAGACATTTTGAGAGAAAATTTTGAGCAGAAGCAGAGAGAGCAGTATTTGTTGAGATTAGCTGTCTTTTTTTTTTGTGGTGTTTGGATGTGTTGTAGCTCATTTCTGTGCAGACATTATTGCAGCAGTGTCTAACATATTTTCTTTCATGTGAAACCTCAATGTATGGTGTACCAGGTTCATTTGAGTAGCGGGAAAATGCTTTGCATGCTTTTTTCATGATGAAAAAGGCTCTGGACAGCATCTGGAAATGGAAGAGTTAAAAAATTTTTACAAACGCTTATAAACGCGGTTAGCCGCGTTTACAAGCATTTGGCATTTGAAATTCTGATAAAATCTACTCCTGAACACAAGTTTGGTGCGTTCAAAAAAAGCTACTGTAAACTCAACTGCCTGTAAACGATGATGTGTACATGGACACATAGGAAAACATTAGGGAGAGTTTAGGGGCTGCTGAAAAAAAGCAGAAAAGTTCCTAAATGTGAGTTTATCAGCTGCAGTGTACATGGTGCCTAACATCCCCCCCCTCTCCCCACTGACAATTCTGCTGTCTTCTGTGCCCCCTGTGCTCTTTCATCCAGAGTGGGAGCACTCTACTACAGAAGGTGTGTTACTGGCCAGATCACCAGGTAAAAATAGAGGCAAAAACACCATAAAAAGAAAACTAATGCAGCCACCACATCTAATGATGGGTAAGCTGCAATATATAAAATGTTTGGTTTTAAGTTTAATACATTTAAACATTGTTTTAAAATAGTGGCAAAGAAGGGTGCTGCTTGATCAAATTAGCTAGTGCAATAGAATGCTTCGATTAATATTTTTTTTTGATAGATGGTCATTTATTTGAGCAACCATTATGTCACTTGTCATACATTTCTGTTGCCTGATTATATATATTTATCTCGCTCTGCCAGAGGACATATATTAATGCCACGACCAAAAATTGAATTCTATCTTTACATAAATCCCTCTCCTGAAACTGGAAAATAGGTCACAAACTGTCTGGGTTTGCTATAGACTGATGAGACAATGACCCAGCTGAAACCAAAGTCATGTGACCGTCCGGCTGTTGTGTTGCGCACACAGAC